CAGGACACCCAGTGGGAGTGAGAATTGGGGCTGTGTCATGAGTGTCCAGGCAGGAGCGCCCTACACACGTTGTGAGAGAGAAAGTGAAACACTCAAGAGATGGGGAATCCCCAACACTGAACTTCCCCACCCTAGACCCCGTCCTCGGTGAGACCCTGAGAGCACCGCCCCAGACCCCGCCCTGCCGGGGACCTGGGACTTTGCCCTGATCCCTCCTCGCCAGCACCGAGAGCTGTCACACTGTCTCCCTGAGTCCTGGTCCAGGGGCTGTCTGAGGAAACCCGGAAGGGATAGCCAGATTAGGCTCAGTTTTTCCTGAGCTGTTCTTTCCGGAATCGTCCAGGCTGCCAGGACCATCTGCTTCTCACCCCTCCCCTTGGACTCTTCTAGAAGAAGACTCAGCCCCCAGGGAACTTGATGCCACAGAGTGAAGTCGCCCTTGTCTTTCAACCTGGAGAGGTGCCTGAAGACTCCAGATAGAGATTCCCAAAGAGATCAGTTTCCTTGATGCTTGTTAACTACAAGGAGGAGCACAATCGTAATGACACCGAACATCAGAAATCTAGTCTGGTAAAATGACTTTGGCCATTATGTTTAGAAATCTGTCTAAACAGCACTGCAAGAAGACTCACAAATCTCCTAAATCTTACTTTCCCAGTGTAACAGTGACCCCTGTGTTGTTGTATTTTAATTTTTTTAACCTTTTATTTTTTAAGAATTAAAAAAAATTTTATGGAGGTACTGGAGATTGAACCCAGGACCTTGTGCATGCTGAGCATGCACACTACCACCAAGCTATACCCTCCACCCCCATTGTTGTATTTTTAAATTGTCTTCATTCCATATCCCTGAGTTTGTGAGTTGAAGGGGAGCAGAAAATACCACCTCAAAATATATACATTTTTGGCATATTGATTATTTTGAACTAACGTTATGATGAAATAAAATTTATATTTTAAGGCAAAACAAGAAAAAAATTAAACATAAAATTATCTCTGTGCCTGTTTGCACCCCCTCCCTCCCTAATGTGCAATGTGTGTATTTTCATTACACTGCCTCAAATATGGGAGTGCCTGCTTAAATTTAAAGATCTTTTTTTTTCTTTCTTTCTTCTGACACTAGCAATGTAACCTCTCAAAAGAATACGGTCTTCCTCTGCTTATAGCGGGTCATGGTGACTTGCTGCTCTCTTTGTATATGCCTACCTGGACTATGTGTCCTGGTGAACTTTATGGAAATGTCATTTTGATGTACAATCATTTGTCTAGAAAATGTAGTTGACTGTGCTTTTGACTTCTAACAGGTAGAAGAGTTCTCAGAGCTTTCTGAGAATCTGCTTCCCGGGGTTATAATCCTATTTGGCTGGAATAAAATACGCCTTTTTTCTTCTTAACTTGATGGTTAATTGAATTTTCATAGACAGTTACTTAAGAAATAGCAATGCAAGAAAAACATCCTGACCCTCCTTTGTTCCCCTGAAAGCAGGAAATAAATATCCCATGTCAAAGGTACCCTTCCTGTACCAGAAGGGTAGAAGGCATCTCCTTAACACCAGAGATAGGAAATTTAGGGCTGAGAAAGCTATGTTACTTCACTAATTTAGTTACTTCACTAATTTAGTACCCTAAGCCCAAATGTGTTTGCCTTGTCAGTTCCTCAAAAATGTATTGTTTCAATAAACAACAAGTTTCTTCTGTATAGCACAAGAAACTATTCAATATCTTGTAGTAACCTATAATGAAAAAGAATATGAAAAGGAATATATGTATGTATATGCATGACTGAAACATTATGCTGTACACCAAAAATTGACACGTTGTAAACTGACTATACTTCAACTAAATAAATAAATATATATATATATATTCAAGATATTCCAAAGAGTTTGCAGTGGGAAATTTTCCTCTTTCCCCAGACCCAGACCCCAGGCACCCAGATTCTCTGCCAGAGATGACCATTTTACCAATTTCTCATGTATCCTTCCTGAGAAAAACTTAGACAGATGTTGTTACTGTTGCTCCATCAAGGAGTACTGAAAAGAAACAGAGAGTAGAAGAAAATGTTTCTTTTCAGTTTTCCAGGGTGTTGTCACCAAGGGGCTGGAAAGAGGGGTCACATTGGGGAGACAGAAACCTCAAGAGTTGGCACAAGGCTCCTGAACTCTCTTCTCCTTCAATCCCTGTCCCATCCCTGACCTTGACACCTGTGCAATCCAGGGCTGCTCAGAAGCTACTTCTTTCCCCCATTGCTACCCAGCCTTCAGGTCAGCCATCTCTGACCAATTTGCACAGCCCAGGCCCTTTGAGGCAGCTCAGTCAAAATCTGACAGCGGTGTGGGGGCGCCCTCGTGTGGCCACAGGGCTGAGGACAGGCAATCCAGCTGTCCCTCCTCCTGCTCAGCAGGACTTCCCCAGGGCCTCTGGGGGCTCCTAGAACCAGAACAGGGCTTTGAACACAAGCTCCTCCCCAGACAAAAAGCCATGTGAGGACACAGTGAGAAGGCAGCCATCTACAAGCCAAAAAGAGAACCCTCACCAGAAACCAAATTTCCAGGCAGTTTGATCTTGGACTTCTTTCCAGAACTGTGAGAACAGTAATTTCTCTTGTTTAAGCCACCCAGCCTGTGTTATTCAGTTATGGCCGCCTGAACTGACTAAGACAACCTCCAAAACCCAACACTGTTAACCTCCCCTCTTCTAGCCTCACACCCAGCTTTAAGGAATCTGTCACAGCATTTATTTATTCATTTACACATATTTAGTGAGTGCTTCTGTGTCAGCACTTAAGTCTCATTCAAAGGCAAGGGAAATTATGCATACATAAGAAGTAGAAGGGGAGGGGTGATAAGAAAGATGGCTTGTTGCTTCTTGGAAAATAGGAAAAAGACCACAAAGGTTCAGTTCCTAAGAAAATTGTCACCTATTTGCTGTTACTTTATTCTAGGACTTTGTTCTAGGACTGGTGATCATTTAATCAAAACAGACAAAATACTTGCTCCTGATGCTTACCATCTGACAGGAAAGACAATAAATAAACATCGTAATAGTGGTAAATTATATGTTATGTGTTCCTGTTATCCCAAAACAACTGTTTTATTCCTTCTCATTCTGTGGGTTGATGGGGCTCAGTGGGCAGCTCTTCTGCTCCGTGTGACTGGGCTAGGGCTGCGGTCATCTGGAGGCCCTACTGGTTCAGAACTTTCCAGAGGGCTCCCTCACGGGGCTGCAGGTGGTGCTGGTTGTCGGCTGGGAGCTCACTAGGGCTGTTAAGCCAGTGGCCTACATCGCCCTCTACCTGCTTCTCCATGTGGCTGGGCTGCTCTCAGCTTAGCACCTGGGTTCCAGGAGGGAGTGTTTCAACTGGACAAGTCAGAAAGCACAAGGCAACTTATGTAGGAACCTCAGAAGTCATGCACTGTCACCTTTCTCATGTTTAGCCATCAAAGCCAGTAATCAATTCAAAAAGAGGGGAACTAGGCCCCACCTCTAGATAGGGGACGGTGAGGTCACACTGCAAAAGAGCATGTTGGGAGGGGGTGCTATTGAGGTCATCTTTGGAAAAAGATAACTTCACGCTATGAGAAAATGATATGAGATGCAGAGAAAAAATAATGAATGCAAAGTCAACAATCAATGCAAGGTGATGGGAGAGGTGGCACTTTAAAAGAGAGTCAGGTTGGGCCTCGTGGAGGTGATGGCTGAGCAGACTTGAAGCAGGTGAGGAACTGAGCTGCACAGATATTTGAAGAAAGAGCACTGCGGGATCACTCTCTGCACCCACCTAGATCTCTGCATGGGGCAGGCACTAAAACTGCAGTGGGACTGGAGGTGGGCACACTTATGGACAGACTTCTGGCAGAGAGGTGTGGGGTCCTGGGTGTCTCTTTCCTGCTCTGTTCTTTAGAAGTCCTGGGGCTGGGGAAGGGAGAAGGCACTGCTGTGTGGAAGCTGAGGTGGGGCCCCACCCTCGCTCTCCCGGCTGTCTCTCTCCTGCATCCAGTGTTCCTGCCCAGGGTTGCTGTAATTCACAAGGAGGACCCTGAGGCAATCACACTCCGAGAGGCCGAGGCCGAGCCTTAGACTCCTCCCCTGCCAACAGCATGCTGAGCTGACTGCGGACTCAGGACTCAGGGGGTCCTGACTTGGGGATGACAAGGCATACCAGAGCTGGATAGCTGTAGGGGTCCTCCCCAAAGAGGAACTCCCTCAGTGTGACCTGGGGTGAAGTGTTGTCAGAGGACAGGGGTGAGGGTGGGGTGAATCTCGTCCAGACCCTGCCAAGGCTCTCAGCCCCTGTTCCCAAGGGCCTTCCCTTCCCTTCTACATGGAGATGCTGAGAATGTCCTCAGTCACTGATCACTCACATCTCACCCTCATTTGGAAGTCCTTCTGGCTCTAACCTCCTTCATTCCTGCTGTACCTTCTCCCACAGCCTGGGGCCCTGCCCTCTCTTCTCCTCCTCTGCCCTCCAGTGGTAAAAATGGCCCCCTTCCCACTGAGGAGTGGGCTCTAGGTAAGATACTGGGCCCTAGCTGAGAGAAAAAGCAAGGGGCTGGAGAGAGAGGATGGGCACAGACAGTAGAAATCAAAGGGTTTGGGGAGATGATGAAGAAAGATGATTCCACATCATTATTTCTCTCATAGTCCAAGAGACCAGCCTTCACCCTAGCCCAGGGACAGGGAAAGAGCAGCAGGAATGGAGAAAGACTCTACACAAAAGCAAAATATAACTGAATCCTCCCTCTGCTGTCTTTTCCTCTTGCCTATTCTTCAATTTTGTAAGTGGAATTTGTTAACAAACATGAAAATTTTCTTTTAGGAAAATCTCCAAACATCAGAGAATTAAATTATTAATATTTAAGGCCTACAGGTTAAAAAAAACAGAAGCTTC